GAACTGAATTATTAAAATTCAATTCAGTTATGTATTTTGATTCAGTTTGATCCAATTTTTTTATATAATTCAGTCGATCGATTTTAAAGAAATTATAACCGAACTAACCAAATTTACCGAATCCTCACCCCTAATCATTTCCCCCTCCTCTTTTTAATTTTTAATTATTAAATCAAAATTTTAGATGATCTAAATTTGATCTCCTTCAAACCATTTCATTTTATTTTACTCTTACTATATTTTTAAATTGTTCTTATTAAGTTTTAATAGTTTGAATTTTATTATTTATATTTTTTGTAATTTAATATTTTAATGATAATTTTACAGGAGATCAAATCTAAAACATTTAAATATTGATCTAATGGTCAAAAAGGAAAAGGAATGGAAGAGGATGGGAAGGAAGAGTAGAGAATCCATGCCCATGAGAATCACTAACCAACCAGGCATTTTTTTTTTTAATTAGAGGCAGTCATTTTTTAGATATGGTTACCATTAAATGTAGATACATTTTTCAGCACAAGTAAGGATTTAAATTTTGATTTATCGTCTTTTGAGAAAACAGACCTTCCATTAAAACCCAAACTTCGTTGGTTAAACTCAACGTGACATTTGCCATTGATGTAGTTTTTCTTCTTCTTTTTTTAATGAAATAAAACAACTTTTAATTAGAGAAAATGAAATAATAAAACAAAATAAAGTTAGCCTCCCATTGGGGGCCTAGGGGCAGGGAAAGAGGGCAAAGAAAAATTAGTAATATAGTTGTCCCAAGAAGGAAAAAAGGATAACAATTTAAACAAATTTCCATGAACCACGCGGTGCATCCAGATTAAAGATGAAAGGGTGAAGATCAGACGCTAATTGCTAATGATAGTGAGTGGCTCTAGTTGCAGGCCATAATCCAAAATGAATGCTCAAATCCAAATTAAAGCGGATGTGAGGCGAGAATTATAGAAGAAAGATATTGGGCCTGCTAGTTTATTTTTCTAACGATTACTCACTCCGTTGAAAAATATAAAATATTTTTTAAGGAGTTGAATATTAAAAAATGTGAAGCATTTTTAATTTTTTAAGGTGTAATTATTACTTTTTTTAACGGTATCTCCATTGATAATAATTTTATATTTACTATAGGGTGTTTAATAGGGACAAATATAAAAAGATAGGGTTAGTTGAAAAGTAGGTCACTATTTTATTGGGAGGTGAGATTTGATTAAAAATGCCTTACATTTTTTAACAAATAAAGTATTTTTTATTTTTAAAAACAGAAAAATGTAAACACCCGTTTGAATAAGTATTTTTAAAATTATTTTCATTTTTTATTTTAAAATAAAATAAAAACAACCTCTCATTTTTAAAATACACTACATTGAATTATTAAAAATTATAATTATTTTGATTAATTTATATTACTAATCATTGCTATTAATTGTCTATAATTATTACTATCAGTTCATTTTTAAATTTTTTAAATTATTTTTTAACTGACATAATCAAATGAATTTTTATTTTATTTTTTTTTGAAAAATAAATTTTAAAATTGTATTACAAAAAAAATTTTAAAAATAAAAAATAAGAATAGAAACCAAACGAGTCCTTTATTTTCACTTTCTCTTTTTACCGTAAAAATTCTTGTAAAACCTCCGTATTCCATCTGATTCAAATATTACATTGAGAAAGCTTTTTGGCTTTAACCTTATATTTGCCAAATTGGCCATCCAAACACAGTAGAGTTTCGAAGAGGTTGAATGCTGTTGGTTGGAATTGACAAGCTAAATTGCCATGAAGATGGACACAAATCAGATTGAGAAGGATAATAACCTGTCTCGGTAAATCTGTTCTATTTTCCTTTATCAGGGATGATAACATAGCATGGAATTTCGAGAAGTCCTGTCCAACAATGAGTTCTCTAGGTCAAATATCTAATGCACCCTCCCACATGGCATGGTATAAAGGCACATAAAGAAAAGATGTGTTAAAAATTCATCTTCTTCACAACCAGACAAGCATGTCTATTTGCAGTAGAGATGGTGATGTTGGAGGACATCAGCTAATTACTTTATCTAGCAATTTCCATATAAAAAGAAGATCCTTATAAGGGAGATGAAGCTTCCAATTTGGATTATGGTTGCAAATTCCTGGGTATGGTTTGGACTAACAGTTCCCTAAAGCCATCTTGAACCAAGTATTTTCCTAAGAAATTGCCCAAATCAATTTATCTACCTTGTCTTGCAAAGAGATTGACTAGCTGAGAATTCTTGACGCCGGAGCATTGTCATAAACAAAAGATTCGTTCCAAGAGAGAGAGAGGAATCTGTGGATTAGAATTGACAAATGAGATCAGATACCTTGCAGATGGTGGCATCAAAAACACTAGACATTTGAGTGTGAGAGAATTTTTCCCCCATAACCAACTCTTCAACGAAGCTTAGATGTGATTAAATTTGCACTGCTCAAGATGCCCTTCCATGTCCAAGACGTATTATAAGGTTGGTTTATAATCTCAGAAGAGCTTAAGTCCAAGTATTTTACCTTGAAAGTGCTAGCAAAACTTTTGAATCTAATAATCTCCAAATTTGTTTAGCCAGCAAAGCTTTATCCGCCAAGTGGGGTGGTTGCCATTTATGGGTAGTTCAACCTCATCCATTGCATTGTGCCCGGCCTGCCACATAAGGCCATTCTGGTAATTTAGGAAATGACAGAATCCAACCAAACGGGCTAAAAAAAGCCCAGGCGCGTAGTGGTAGTGCCAGAGTGGGAAGTCTTGACGCGAGCTGGGCCTGAATCAATATCCAAGAATTGTTACCCCATCAAAGGAGCTTCATGTTTACTCTATTTCAGCGCACACAAAAATACTACTGATAATTGTTATCCAAGAAAAATAGTAACTAGCAAAGAGGTACTCCTTCCCTCATTCTCAAATTATAAAACAATTTAAAATAAGATTACACGTACCAATAAGACACAATAATAATATTTTTTTAAAAAATAAAACTATAAACTTTAAAAATCATTATACAGTAATATTATTTCAATTCTCCCTCTACTTAAATACTTAAAGGGTAATATTTAAAAAATATTATTAATAAAATTTTGTTTTTAAAAAATTATTTTATATTTTGGAATGAGAAATTTTTTTAAAGTTATTTTATAATTTGAAAAAAAAGGGGGGGGGGAGTATAATATAACGGGAGCGATAACTTCGGTGGAAAAATAATGGAGCCTGACATACATATAACTTTTCGTACACATTGCAAAAAGCCTAATATGCATGCTTTTTTCACCGAAAAGATAATAAATTTGATCAATGCGCTTTTAAGAGATAGCTCAAGAAAGGTGTGCAAGCAAATTCGGTTAGATTGATCCGAACCAAAAGTTGCTCTAATTTTGCCTTGGTTGAACCGAGTCAAGATGCCGGGCACGGTCAGCCTATTTGCTTCGCTTTCCCTTTCTCATTTCATGCTCGCATCTCCAAGATTTTGGAGTGGAATTCTCAAATCTAGTTAATATGGTGTCCAATCAGGAATTGCCTTCAGCGATTCTGATAATGACTTGAGCTTAAACCCTCTGCGCTGGATTTATTTAATAACTATCATACCATTCAAACTCAACTCACATTGCTTGGTTAGACTAATGAATGAGTCCCTTGGTCAATCGAGTCTAAAGTTTCGGATGGATCTAGCATGTTAGATTATACTCCCTCCATTTAAAAATATAAGATATTTTTAATCAAATATCACCATTAATCAAGTAGTTACCTACTTTTTAATTAACCCTATCTTTTTATATTTATCTTTATTAAACACCCTACAATAAATATAAAGTTATTATCAATAGGGTTATTTTGAGAAAAAAGATAATGATTACATCTCGAAAGACTATAGATGCTTTATATTTTTGAACATCTAACTCTTAAAAAAATACTTTACATTTTTTTAATAGAGGGAGTATATATTTTTTCCTCACTTTGCTGATTTGAGTTCAAAAAATAAAAAAAATTTGTTCATTTGATCCCTGTACTTTTGACCTGATTATAATTTAATCGCGGAATTTTAATTCATTGTAACTCGATCTTTATAGTTTTAATTTAATTGATACTTTGTTCTTAAATTTTGTTTCTTGCAACTCTATAATTTTAATTATTTAAATATTAATCCCTGTATTTTAAAAATAAAATTATAATGATTGAAAGTATTTTAAACTTTTAATATTTAGAATATTTATAAAGATTAAAAATGTTTGGTAATCTAAATTTTAAAGATAAATTTTAATATAATTTTAATCTTTATAATTTTATTTTTTGAGATTTAGGAATCAAATGATTAATAATATAAAAATTAAGTTATAAGAGTTAAATTTTAAAAATTAAATTATAATCGATCAAAATTACAAGAATAAAATGATTAACCTCAACTTAGCCTTGACCGACTGATACTCAGTCTGAGTTTTAGTACTTTGACAACGATGCCTGATTGTTTTTCCCTCTGTATATTATGGGCGTTGTGAAAGGTACAGCATTCAGATTTCATTTCACATGACTTCGAGCTTCTTATTGACCGACTGGACCTGTATTTTAGATTCAGAAAATCAACGTAAGATCCAATATGTTGAACTATGGATTTCCCAGAGGCGAAAACGCCTATCAATCGGCCGAAAATGCAGTGATCGTTGGATAATGCTTCGGCCTTTTTGGTATTCTCTTGATTTAGGGAACGTCAAGGCCCAAGTCCATTAATGCAGAACATCGCAACTCCCAAGAAAGCTACTGGACCTTAGCAGAATCAACAAGTTAATTATTGGCCCCACCTAAGCGCGGATCCGAATTAGTCTAGAATGGGATAGGCAGGCAATGAACCCAGAATATACACATTCCCCCCGGGATACCGGGTGGGGGAAAAAAAAGTTAATTACTGGTCTCATCAACCCGCTTCTGCCCTCTACCAGGAATTGGTGAATCACTATATAAGCAAACATGCATTCGATTATCTTCTATTAGTGTGAAATAATCGATGGAAGGGAAGCAAGCTGTACATACAACAATAGTAATATATCATTCAGTCAAAAACTTGTTCGGGCTGTATACATTGATCCTTGACATGATAGAAGTTAATGCAGGAAAATCACGAGGAGAAGCCAGAAAAATCGGCTTCAATCCTTCCCACATGAATACTAAACTATCACTAGTTTGATAACATATATATCAAGTTATATGGATACCCATGATGCTAAATAGGAGCCATCATCCACCAAGAACATGAAATCCGAAAGGCCCAAGGCAAATGCAGTGACGTACAAAACGATCATCCATGGCTGCAGATAGATGCACATAAAAGACAGCACTTACGTGAACAGATGATCAGTTGCATCTCCTATTCTCATGACCATGGTGGCGGTGATAGAAAAGGCTCCAAGCTACCTAGTAGTGAGGATAGCGGTTTCAAAAAGTTCCTCACCAATTTCTTGCCCGGGAGATTTTTCAGACGGATTGGATTGCTGCAATTGTTCATCAATCATGATCTCCAGATCACGGCAAGTCAAACTGCAAAATGCTTCTTCACCTCTGCAGGATAACAAAGGAATCCAGTCTTAAGAATAAATTTAACTATACCCATCAAAGGAAATGCAATTCAAAACAATATACGCAATTTTGATCAGGCTAACCGACCTATACATGTAAATATCTTTTCCCTCATCCAGTTTCTTGTTGCAGTGGTGACAAAAACTCAAGAAATCATTAGAGGGATACTGGTTTGGAGTTTGTGAGCAGTTAACCACGGGGCACGCTCCATCTTCCTTCTCTTCATTCTTACCATGAATCCTAAGATCATCAGAATGAGTTTCCAAGATGCAATCACCGAAAATATGGGTCGTTCTAGGATTGGGACCATGGGAAATTACACAGGTGTAGTCCTCAGATTCCTCAATCTCACCAGCAGATAGAGACTCAACAAGCTCAAGAGATGATAAATGTTCTGAGTTCAATTCTGTAGGCAGCGACGAAGTGTTTGAGTCATGGTTTCTTTCGACAAAATGAGGAAAGATTGCTTCGGTGGACATATCTTTCACTGGGAAAAACCCGGAGTTCGAGTCATTGTTGGGAAGGGTCAAACCGGAGAAGCTTCTAAACGGATTGCAGGAATCCATTGAAGACCAGCTTTTCCTAAATGGTTCATACTCTAGGCAGGTTTCTCCAATCTCAAAAAGAGTATTGGAATTACCCTTGGGGATAGCAGATCCATTCTGGCTATAAGGAAGTTTACAAAAATCTTTGGGTAAGGACCTAGATGCCTCAAAAGAATTAGCACAGTTTAGACAATTTGAGAAGTTCATTCTCATTCTGGGACTGATGATTGGAAACTTACTCTGTGATGAAGATATAATTTTCCCAGAAAATTCAGAAGAATCATTAAAAGAATCTAGCATGCTTAGGCCTACTTTGCTGCAATCCCAGCTCCTCTGGCATGATTTTGGAGTTCTAGCTGGGTTGCCTGAACTTGGAAATACTTCAACATCGAGAGGAGATGTAGGGCTCCTCATTGAATCAGAATCTAACAAGCTGTTAGGAACAAGACCCACAAACAAACGAGGGATATTGAAAATTAAGTTGCTTTTGAGTTTCCTCCCCAAACCATGAGACTGAGAATAACAGTCCCAAGTATGACCCATGTGATGTTGATCCTTCTGGAGGGACCTGTTCCTCTTCCGCAGCATTAGCTCAAATCACCTGCAGAAAACAACCCCGGTTTGGTCACATGAAACAGAAGAACACAACCAGTTTTTAATAAGCAATACCAATATCCAGCGACAACACAGATCAACATATAATGACTTAACGCCACACCTGTGAAAAGATTGGACCTTTTGATTGCGTGCTGAAAAAGGCGAGCATTCATGTTTGAAAATTTAAAGAAAGAAAATTGCGTCACCGCTTTAATTCCAAGACTCATTAAAGAAACCGGAAAAGAAAATAAATGAATGAAGAAGCAATGATAGAGCTCCGATTAGACGATGTCATCTCAACAACAGGGCAGTAAACGACGTTGACGGCAAAAAAACAAAATACAGAGGTAAAGAAATTTTTTGAAAACCATCATAATTCATAATAAATGTCGAGTCATTCCAAATCCAAATCCAAATCCCTTTGCCAAAAGAGCAGCGAGCGAATAAAATCCCAAGGAAAATTAAAGAAAAGTAAAACTACCAGTAATCGCACAGGCAGGAGAACCCGGCCAAGACAAAAAGGAAGAAACTTCTGTAACTATCAGAAGCTCAAAAAAAAAAAACAAGAAGAAGATGACATTCAAACCTCAAGGGAGACCTCGGAACCCTCCAAAAAAAAAAAACACACACACAACGGTTGAGCAGAATCAAAACACAGAAATAGACTAGAAATCAGAATCGTTCAACCGAGAGAAAACACGAATAAACATGAGTGAGTGTGAGTGAAATACAGAGAGAGAGAAACCGACCTAGGTGTTCTCTCCTGGTGCTCTGAGAATTTCGCAGAGAAGGATGATGAAGAGAAGAGGTCCAAATGCAGTAAAAATAGGGTGGGGGGGTGAAACTGGTGCCGTACTCTCCTATCTCTCTCCCTTTCATGCCTCAAAATCAGCGAGGCAATGAGCTTCTGAAATACCAGTCCCCTCTCTCTCCTCCCTCACCAGAATTGACAGAGACTCTCTCTCTCCCCCCACAGAATAAATGAATAATAATTACACGACAGTCCAATAGCCCACGGGATTGTCTATAGCTTGTACCTTTTCCCGTTCTGGCTCGACGGGTTCATGGCAAATTGTTGGTAAGCAAAATAGGACAGAGACAGACTCGGTGATAATTCCTGGATGAGTCCAGGGGTTAGGCTGGAGCAACTCGCTCTTATTTAACTTGACAGCCATTTGCACATTCTGATCATCAGTGAGACGTCCAATTGTATTTAAGCGATTCGCTCAAATTTTCAATTCATTAAAGCATCGTATATTATTCACACTCTCACACGTCAAATTCAGGACATTATTTCGCCTCTGAGTACTTCAATTCAATTTTCTTTGGAGAACAAGGCTTTGTTCATGGGATTGGATGGCGGGCAATTGGGAGGGGAACAGTGAGAATCGCATTAGAGAGAGAGAGAGAGAGTGATGAGAAGACGACAAAATAGGGGAGACTGACAAAAGTAAGTGTGGGAGAGAGGTGTCACAGTGCTGGTCAATTGACTGGGAAATGCAGGCCCATTGCTCGCCCTGTCCTTTCACGCGCATCCGAACCATGCATGCACCGAAATAATCATACATATATTATATGTGTGTGCGCGCGCGCGCGCGCTTCCTTTGAGTTCAAGACGAGCCCCTCTCCTCCCCCTGATTTCTATTATTGTGCGACTATATAAGATATTGTTTTAAATAAAATATTTAAAAATATAAAACATTTAAAATTTTTTTAAGAAATAATTAATAACTTTTTTCAAAATACCCTTAATTAAAAGTATAATTAATAAATTAAGGGATGAATGTAAAAATGGTGTATAATTTTAAAGATAATTAATTAATTCAGTAATAGTGTGATTTAATTAAAAATATTTCATAATATTAAATGGATGGAGTATTAATTTAAAAATTATTTATGAGATAAGTGATGGTTATAACCAGTGATTAAATAATTGAACCAGTCTAGATGGTCAGGTAGGTCAGCCGGTCTGAATTTCAGTTCGATCAACACGTAAAAATTATTTTAGGGGTTGAGTTGGGTAGGATTTTTTGGGCTAGCAGTTAGACTGCGAACCAAATTTAATTTTTAAAAACCAAACTTTTCAAAAAATTCTTTAAAAAAAGATTAATTTTTTTAATCATTTGATATTATGTTATGTCATCTTATTAAATCACGATAAGATTAAAATATTTGGTTTTATTTCTAAGTTAAGTATTAATTTCATATTTATTTATTATATTTAGATTATTATATACATATATAATTTTTGAATCTAATTATTACGTTATCAATTTGACTATTAATTCAATCCGGTTGAATCATGTGAATAGTAAGCCACTAACCTTTACAATTTAATGTCCAGTTGTATTTTAAAAACTAGGGGTATTCACGAGATTGGGGCACCCTTGTCTCTTATCCTGTCCTAAAAAAAAAAATGGGATTGAATTTTAATCTCGTATCTTGTTCCATCACATTAGGAATTGGGACTGGATTGAGATAAGATCGAGACGTCTCGCCGTCTAGATAACTCGAACGATATCAAAAAAATATTTGAATAATAATATTCATTAAAATTTTAAATTATATAATTTATTAAGTTTAAAATTAAAACAATACAAGTACATAAATCATAAATTCACAATAATTTAAAGTTAATTATTGAATTATATTAATCACAACTACATATTATGATAGTAATTACAAGTGATTTTTAGGTTATAAGAGTAATAACAATAGATAAGCTAAACACAATATCAAATCATTGTTCTTTTACTTTAGTTGAGATGTGTTAAATTAATTACTCTTTTAAAAATAAAACATGAAATACGATATAAATAAAATTTATTAAATAGATATATATATATATATATATAAAAGAATAAATTGTATTAATATAATTAATATATTATAAAGAAAGATATCGCCATATTTACTCTATGCCATTAAAATTATCAATATAGAAAACTCTAGTTTTATATGAACATTGCAAGTATTAAAATTATAATTGATATAATTAATATGAGTATAAATTATATTCATATAATTAATACTCCTTCCGTTAAAAAATGTAAGGCATTTTTAACCAAATCTCACTCCCAATAAAGTAGTTACTTACTTTTTAACTAACATTATCTTTTCATATTTTTCCTTATTAAATACCTTACAATAAATATAAAATTATTATTAATAGAGGCACTTTTGAAAAAAAAAAGACAATGATTACATATTGAAAAACTAAAAATACCTTATATTTTTTAACATATAACTTCTCAAAAAATACCTTACATTTTTCAACAAAGGGAATATATTTAATATATATTTTTAAAATAAAAATAATATATATGATATTTGAGATGTGACGGGATGTTTCAATAGTAATCTCGTGTCTTGTCCCATCTCGAATCCCTTTCCTATTTCATTCCACAAAGTCTAGTCCCAATTGTTTTAGAGTTAAAATGAGACCCGTCTTGATATGATCAGAATGATACCGAATCAATCAGAATAGGTATAAATCGTACATTTCTACTGAAAACATTTGTTATAACTCATGAGTAGATTGGGGGTTAAAAAAACAGTCAGTAATTTTTTTTCCAATCGCTCTCCCTATAAATGATTTGAAGCTTTTGCGTGTACGCTGATTTAGAATAAATTTTACTCGAGAAAGAGAGTTTGTATTTCTAATTTTTCTAGGAAAAATTAATCATGTAATTTTTGTATTTTTGATTTAACTGTTACTCAATTTTTAAATTTTAACTCATTATAACTCGATCTTTAAAGTTTTGACTTGATTGTAAATTAGTCCATGAATTTTGTCTCTTATAATTTAATACCTAAAGTTTATGTTTCTTAAATATTAATCCCTTTAATTTAGAAAATAAATTTATAAAGATTAAAAATATTTTAAATTTTATTACTAATATTTTAAATTATTAAACCCTTTTAATTTTTATAAATACTATAAATATTAAAATTTTAAAATATTTTTAATCTTTATAAATTTATTTTTTTAAATACAAAGATTAATATTTAAGGGGTTTAAACTTTAAGGATTAAATTGTAAGAGGCAAAGCTCAGTGACTGATTTATAACTAAATTAAAATTTTAAAGATTGAGTTATAATGAGTCAAAGTTGAAAAATTAAATTATAACTATGTAAAAACTATAAGAATTGTAATCATTTTTTTTTTATGATTAAAAGAGTAGTGGAGTAACTTCAGCGTGATGGGGAGATGATGCCGACGAGTCACGTAGGGAGATTCGTTCGCGTGTTATGATAATTAAAGGAAGAATAGATGGGTACTTCATCTCGATTCATATTATTAGTACAAAACATCTCGAACTATCTCACGGGATAATGAAAGTTAATTAAGTCGTTAGGTTTATCTAAAAATATAATAAGTTTTTAAGTTTATTCGTACAGACAATCGGCTGTATTTATTACATTCGGGTGTAGATGGTGGTTTGATACAAAAAATATTCGCAATTAATAATTAATAATGGCAATAACAATTCTTCTCTCACTTGATGAGTTGTTATATGGATTTAAAAAGATAAAATTAAGTTTGCGCATTAAAAAGACTCATGTCATCGCGTGAAAAATACTATAAGTAAATGTTAATCCTAATAAGTTAACCTGAATGTCAAAATCTCTCTTCAATAAGTTAATCCGAATCAGGCAGACTCCTCAGATTGCATTCTTCGCTTGCATAATCAATAGCCTGCCTTTCTTTCCTCCCCTGGGTTGGTTAGGTGCTTCAGTGGAGGTGATCGAGTTAACTCAAATAAATTTAGAAAATTTTAGGGTTGGGTTTAAGAATTTAAGAAAAAAAATTACTCCGGGCTTATTCAATAATTCAGATAAGCTTACAGAAATTTTGAATGAGCCTGAACATAATGAGCTTAGTTCAAATATTAAAAAATTTTAAAATTAGTTAAAAAATAAATTAATATTTAATAATTTAAGTATTTGAATCAACTTAAAAAAGTGTGAGAGCCTGGGCTCAGCATAGATTTGTTTTAATATGGCTGTTCATATGTTCAGGTATTTTACGTCTCTGAACGAATATGGCTTACCCAACCTACCGAATCCATATTTGGGTTTTGTCGTTTAGGTGACTCGCATTCAAGCATTTCTTCAACCCGTTGCGCTGCCTGAGGGACTGGGAGCTAGGACTTGACACGTGTGATTCTCGAACGTGCGGGGTGTCGCCCTTTAATGTCGTTTTATGGGGGGAACGTTTGTCTGCTTTCTTTTTTGTCCTCTCTATGAAAGCATTTATCTGCTTTATTCTTAATTTTTTTCGCGTGGTAAATAAATACTTCCTCCATTCCAAGAAGACATTTCACGTTTTAAAATATAAGATTATTTAAAAATGTTAAATTTTATTAAATAAAGTTATTATAATATTACGCACTCTCAATGACGCATTACGGGAGCAGGGGTTGCTTCTCCTCCCCACAATTTAATTGGTGCTTAGAAAAAATTTTAAAAATTTTTCATCTTACTTGTAAGGGAATGTAAAAATCAGTGTTAGCCTCAGCCTTCCCATATTTTAAGTAGTTTTTAATTTTGTGACCATGCTTTCACTCTTGGATTCATCATACTTACTCTCACTTTTTATTTAATCACTGTCTCTCTCTCTTTTTAGTATATCAAATGAAGAATGTTTTTGAAAATTTATACATTTTATTTTGAAAACAAAATTATTAAGTATATTTAATAAGATTTGTTAGTATATGAGATTTTATCTAAAGTGTCTTATAATCTATGATGAAAAGAGTGTTTATTCTAATCTCTATTACAAGATACATCCAATTACTTCATTGAAATTAAGAATAGATGATAAAATTATTAACTTTTCTTATAAATATAATAACTCCCTAATCCACCTCTATTCAAATGGAAATTGTTTAAATTCACGTTAGACTCATCCCTCATGATTAATGACTTTAAATAAAAGTAACATTTTTTAAAAAAACTTATTAATACTTATATTAAGTGCTTTACATTAAAGACTAAATAATCCTCTTATAAGATGCCCTGTAATAGGGCCCGAAAGAGTAGGAAAAGTTAAAGCCTCGACCATTTTATAAGTCACAATGTGTTATACTTTTTCATTAATTCTTATTATAAAGTATTTTTTTAAAATATTTTTAATTTTTAATATAAGATATTTGATAGAATATTAATTATATTTTATCAATATTATTGTTATTTAAGTTCATTAATTATGTAGAGAATGCAATATAAAATTTAAATTTTTTCATTTGATTAAAAATAAAATTAAAAATTCATTATATTTTTAAATAAAATCAATAATTTAATATTATCTTTTTAATCCCAGTGAGATAATTAAATAAACATGACACAAAAAATAATTATCTATAATTGACAAATGAGAAATCAGTAATATTTATCGCTATATTTTATTATTAC